GCATGTAGCTCTTAGTGTAATTTTGGCTTTACTATGAGAAACTGCCTCAAAAAAAAAAGATTTACAAAACCAAACCAATGCCCAGTTGTGCACAAGTCTGTATGAGGGTGCATCACCCTGGTCCCCTCTGCCTGATAAACAACCGGGTGTTTTAGCTAATTGATCTTGTGCACCACTTTAGGGCCAAGGAGTGCTGCCAGCACCTCCTGTAGCTCTGGCTTATGGGTATGAATTTCTGCAGATGTGCCAACTCAGCATCTCAGCACAGTTCTGAGACTTTGAACTGAAACACTTGTAGTGACCAGTAGTATCATGTAAGTACTTCTGTGGATCAGATTTCTGCTCCTGTTCCTATTTCTAGGACCTAGAAAACATGAGTTTGGTGCACATGCAGCATCATTAAGTATGAAGGTTCATCGTCTTTTTCTGAATATTTGGTATTTTTCTTAAATCTCTTGGCTGTGAAGAATAGGAATGTCTTAAATTCCATCAAAACCAAAAAAGTGTGGATTATTCCAAACCTAACTTGATTTGGCTATAAAAAAAACCTCATAGCCGAGGTGCAGCCTGTGAGTGCAGTAGGAGAAGGCACCTTTTCCAGTGCTGGCTCTCCTTCTTCAGCCTCAGTACCAAATAACACAAAGTGGTTTTAACACCTCTGCACAAATCCAGGATTTAGAGGCAGGAACTTGGCCGATGACAGGAAGTACAGATTTGTGCGGGGACATCGTGGCATGACAGTGCCAGGCAGAAAGTGGGTGTTCAGAGGCAATGAATGACACCCAGCAAGGCATCTGTCCCACACCCTTACCCTGAGGAATTGTCCTTCTGGAAGGCTGGGCAAGACCTGCAGGCACTGGCTGTGGATGAGCTGGGCACCAAACAGCTGCTACAGGCACCAGCAGGCTGTGCCCTGGGCGATGCTCCAGGCAGGTGCAGCAGGTTCACATGTGCGGGGAGGCAGAGGGGCTGGGGTGCACTAATGCACCGGTGCATGCCTTCACTGGGTGTGTTGCTGCTGGCCTGTGAGCGACTTTCCAGCTTCATCCCATCACCACGGACCATGCTGCTGCTAGAAAGCTGCTGCTTTAAGCCTGACACTACATAAAAATCCTTACAGGCATCACCTGTACTTTGGTGCAGCTTGTAGTTAGAAAAGCAGGATAATATGGAATCGTGGCTCTGCTTGTGATCCTGATTTCTTGCTGCAGTGATGCTGTGACTTGAGTCTGGGGGCAGCAGTCAGAGGCTCTCTGGGAGCATGCTGCCTGCACTGCCTGCTCCCAAAGTCTCTGCCTAGCTCCTTGGCTGCACTGGCTTCCAACCAGCAAGGACAATACATGTCGCTCGTATCTTTAACACAGATAGAATATTTATAGTTTAGGGCTTTTATATTCTCTTCTATAGCTTAATTAGCAATATAATTTCCTGTAGCTCTCCCTGTACTTGTGGGAATGGAAGAGAATGGCAATTACTGGAAAGCCAGGAAAAGTGGGGGGAGAAGAAAAACAGAGAGACACACATACAGAGCCATTTCTTTGCAAGTGGCATAACACAGAGATGGCTCCGAGCTGCTGCCAGTGGAGGGGACTGTCTGCAGTGGGTTTATGAAGGAGCAATGACTCATTTCTACTTCAGGAATGTTCCTGTATTGCACAGGAAGAAATTGCGTACGTACATAAACTAGCTTGAGTCTGCATTACCAGCATGGCCTGCATTAGCACTACTTTCACATTTAAACAAAAAGGATCTAAACAATACTATAAAGGAAATCTGAACAGCTGTCATTGCCCTAAAATAATCATGTTACCGTAAGTGTTCAATGGCCATATTGTCTAAGGAGCTGTACAAACATAAGAAACCAGATTTGTGCACTGAATGTAGCCTACGGCAAAGTACAATAAGGGAGGTGAAGGAAAAAACGAGAAGCGGTGATACAGGGAAGGAGGTCCAGAGCAAAGAGTCCATGAGACAGTGTTCCTGTGGTGAAAACAGCCTAAGTATCTGTCCTTCCCCTGGGCAGGTATTTCTCACAGAAAACCCTTTTCCTGTCTCCAGCCCTGTCACAGGCAACCTGACTCACACTGGCACATGGGATTATGTGATTATATAACTCCAAAGGCTTTTCTCCTGACTCCTGTGGGCTACAAAGAGGCCTCCACCTCAGAGCTGTGTCTCTGCTACTGTAGGGAAAGGTGCTACAAGTGCAGTTTGGATTTTCTTAGGGCATGGCAGTGTTCATGGAGCTGGGCTGCTTTCCTGGCTGGCTTCTAGCTCAGTGTTGACTGAGCTAATTCATTAATCCTGTCTCCCCTCAAATATGAGAAAAATCTGAAGCCTCCATCTACATCAGTATTAGAAAAATCTTATAGCACAACATATATTTACACACATATATATGTATATATGTGAATTGCCTCCCACAACACTTCTCTCTGATGAGGTAGATAAAACTGTTTTCTTCTATGAGAAGGCATGAAAAGGGAGGTGGAAAAAATTAAAATTAACCAAAAGTCACCATAGCAGCAGAGTTTTGACAGCAATCCTGCACCCTGCGCCCTGCCGCTCTGCTTCAACCTCTGCACAGACACGTTCTCCCACAGCATTCTTGGCCCCTGCTACAGCAGCTGCAAGCTGAGTTAGATTTCGTATTTTAGGCAGTTCTTGCTCGAGCAGTTCTGTGTTTTTCTGTTTTGGAATTATCTACACAACGAAGGCACAGCTCTCTTCACTGCTGCCTTTCACATCCTCCCAAGTGTCATTTAGAGCTGCCAGGAAAGCATTTAGAGAACAGTTTAGGAAAGGTGAGCCATCTGCATGTTTATGAAAGAGAGAGAGACCTGGCAAAGCCATGCTTGTCCCCAGGCATTATTTGCAAAACCTTTTCAGGATGAAAAGGAAAAGGCAGTTGCAGCACAGGTGTGAGCACCCTGTAGCAAATCCTCAAGCTGGGCCAGGCAGGAACACTGAGTTAGAGCTACAATTTTTTCCAACTTCCTGCTCATGCATCCCACGTGCTTTGTGCCTAAATCTCTGTGTGATGCCTAGTTTGCTGCAGGCATCCCAGGTCACAGCTCTGTAAGGCAGCTGTCATTTCAGGAGTGTCTGTATAGATACATATGCACACACTTATGAAGAATAGTAGGTCCTGGGAAGACTTTAGCAAACCTGGGACAGCCCCTGCACTACTCTGAAAGTTCCAAGAGACAAACCACAAGGCTGAATGATCATTCACCCTGCCACAAGTGCTTTCTGCAGCTGGGCAAGCAAAGGCTCTCAGCTTGAACACACTGCCCAGATTATGCTTTTCATGGTGTGTGTAAAATTCCTCTCCTTGTCCTCCATCCTGCCATCCCTGACCATGGAAGCACCTCAGCCAGTGACACACTAGAGCTAGAGGCAGTTTCCCAGGCACAGACAGGGACAGATGCACCTTGGGCACATCACACATGGAGATGGCACTTTAAACAGCAGCACTCAGGTTGCAGGTCCCTTTGTGAGGGCAGGTGGGCCATGGGCAGCCCACCCACCTGGAGGAGGGCAGGAGGTTCTGGGGGTGAGGGTGCCAGTGGTGGGGACTAGGCGGCATTTTAGGCTTCCTTCAAGGCACTCTTTATATAGCTGGTTACATAAGGCTGTGCAATTTGGCTCCTGTTGAGAGAGAAACACGGGTGTAGGAGTACTGGTACACCAAACCTGACTGTAAAAGTCATCTGTAGGGTTTGGGTTTTCTCTCCCTGTCATTCTCCACTAATCTCTAGAACAGCCACTAAATACTTAATAAAAAAAGAATACCTTAGCAGTAAGTCATGGTGTGCCTCCAAAACCTGAGCTTGAAGATGGAGAATGATCCCCATACAGTTTTCCAGACAAGGACTCACAGGGGCAGCATCACAGTGTTCACCCCATTCCTGCAGTGGGGGTACCAGGCATGGAAGAGGGTGACAATGAGCTCAGGGGGGCCATCTGCTCCCACCGCTGAGGAGCTGTAGTAACCAGGGATGAGAGAAGCAAGGGGCTGTTCCCCTCCCTCCTCTTTCCCCTGGTGCTGACAGTTCCTTGGCCACTGAGAAGGGCGAGCATGGGTTTTTGAGCTTGGAACAGCATGGAAAAAACGCCACTGCCACTAGATTTGACACCGATATGTATTTACATGGTGTGTTTCATGCCCAAGATGAAGCCCAGCTCTGCTGTGCCATCGCGCATCACCGTTACCGTCTCCTTCGGGGAACGCATTTTCCATAATGGAAATCAATTGTGTTGAAATAGTTCAGGAGCTGTGCAGTGTAACATCACGTACAGATACACTTGTAATCGCGGGCAGTGCCACGCTCCGAGCCAGTTACTCATTACATGGGTCACTTGCAGCTCTCATTACGTGCTGTACAGCGCGAGGCAAGGCCGTGGAGCGGCTGGGTGCTCACAGGGATCATCCAGCACACACTGAGGGCTCCAAGGGGCTACAACAGCAAGGCTGAAGTGGTGGCAAGGCTCAGGCAGAGATGTACAGGGCTTTCACTGAATCACCCCTCTGGCAGGCCCCGCTTGGCTCTTTGAAATCAGTTGATGATCAGCTTTGCTGTTTTTGAGCTCCCGATTTCTCACACCCAGTAGGTACCTCATCTTTCATTGTATTAATGGGGCTTATGAGAAAGACAAAGACATTTTACCAAGACCCCTAGTGAAAGGAGGAAGAGCAGCAATTTTATGTTAAAGGATGATAGGTTTAGATTAGCTATTAGGAAGAAATTCTTTACTATGAAGATAGTGAGGCACTCAAACATGTTGCCTAGAGAAGTTGCAGATACCCCATCCCTGGCACTATTCAGTGCCAAGCTGGACTGAGCTCTCAGCAACCCAGTCTTGTGGAAGGGGTGTTGGATTAGATAATCTTTGAAGGTCCTTTCCAACCCAAGCCATCCTATGATGTTACCCCACACAGGTACCCAATCAGTACAAGTTATCCAGGTGCCAGCTCTAAGGTGGCATCTAATCCTTACCTGGGCTAGAGGGTCCACACAACAGATGGAAGACATGCCCATGCACAGGGTGTCCACTTGACTCAAATATCAGCGGTAGAGACACTTTCATATGATGTTGGGGCTGTCTCTTCTCACAGGTGCTGGCTTCCTTGATCCTAATGCACTCTGCATGAAAAACAAGGATGTCTGAGACTTCAGACGTGGCTCACTGTGAGCTGGCAGCAGGCAAATGGGCTGGCAGACACTGTGGTCAAGTGGATTGATGGGCAGGAGGGATCCAGGGGGAGGTGGATACAGCATGTGCAGCAGTGGGGTGGGACAGCAGCAGGCTCCCTGGATGGCAGTGAGCTGTACCTTACCAAGGTACCTCCCTGACAGCAACTAACCTCCCTTGAAGTATGAGGCATTTTCAAAATACAACTTTTTTTTTTTCCTTAACTCATGTAAGGTACCGGGAAAGCAGATCATCCAGGCCACAGTCAAGAATAATTTTCAGGGATCATTTTCATAGATTCAGTGACAAAAGAAAAGAGTGCTGCAGGAAGCTACCACCCAGAGGTTTCCAAGCCTTAGGCAAAGGTAAGTGAAGAGCACTAAACCCAGGGTGCAGCAAGAAGTTATCTTGTTATTCACAGGAAAGATCCTGAGAAGGTAAGAAATAGAAACTCCAGGCTGGGAAAGAGAGCTTGAGAGGGAAGCAAACAAGCCCAGTCTTGATGTAGATGTACACAACAGTGATGGACCAAAACTCTCCATTAGTAGCAAACAAGGACGACAAGAAGCATGAAGCTTCTTGTGGTATATAATTGCCCTAAATATATCTGAGCACTGCTTTTTCCAGAGACAGCTGCTGTCTTGTTGCCCGCAGAGGGACGAGCTACCAATTTTGCTTTCCACACCTCTGAGTGATGGGCAGAACTTGCATATGTGCCAGCAAAGACACACAAAGAGGATGCAAAGGGCACTGGCTTTCTCCCTCAGAGGAAGTCAGGGAGCACAGAGGGCTGACTGCTCCAGGTGCTGGTAAACACAAACGGTACAAGAGAGAAAAAGTTAATGTACTACAGCATTGATAGCATAGGGGAGGGGGAGCTGGCCTGTTCTAAACCTCAGATACTCCCACAATAAGAAAAGGAGGAGAACAGGAACAGTTCCTGCTGCTGGGGAACATCACTAAGGTCTCTCCATCCCTGTCAGCCACTGCTGGGACATGTAAAATGTGCTCCACTAGCAAGGTAAAAATTTTCTACAAAGACAGCATTGACTTCCTGGCAACAACCTGCAGCCTGCCTCTTCTGGCACCTGCATCAGACAGCACAGGTAGGCTCACAGGAGAGCTTCACAAGTGCCCAGGTCCCAAGCATTTGTCTCCACAGCTGAAGTAAAAAAGAGACAGTGAATGCTGTGCAAGGTCACAGTACACAAACTCTGAGCCATCCTGTAATGCCTGTCACAGCAGAATGGATGTGGGGTCCAAACAAGCAGGAGAGGCTGCTCAGATCCTCATCAGCTGATATTTGTACTGTAGTTGCAGTATGGATGCTTATTTGAGTTGCAGGATTTAGACATGCATTCCTAAGAACCACAGGTGGAAACAGCAGCCATTTCATTCCCAGCATCACAAAGGGGCACTGTGCCCTTTAAACCACAGTCTAATTTGTAATTTTACCTGAGTGTGACAAAGCATCATAATATATACAATACACTGAGTAAAAGAAAGGCACCCTTTATTTTTCGGTAGTTTCTAAGACTGATGTCTGCTAAATCAGAATTACATTCAAAATTAATTTGCACTTTTGAGGAATTCACACCTGGTTCACTTTGACATAGGGGGATTACTAGAAAGAGGCTGAAAAACTATATTGTGGCTGTCTACTCAATCTCCTTCAGCTTCTGGAAAGACAAAGTAGTCTTTCTCTTTCCTCATGTATATTTTCCCCAATATCTTTGTCTTCCCTTTTCTTGTTATTTGTTCCCCCCTCTTCCTACTCCCCTGGTCATGGGATCACTGACACGAAAGAAAATAATTAGGCGGGTGGGTGTCTTCCTTTCTTTGCGATATCTTAATAGACATTGTGAAATAGTGCACTAGAAGACAAAAACCAAAAACCAGACAAATTCATTCATCCATCGCTCCCTGCTGTGCAGAAGGAAGGGCAAGGGGCCGCGCAGGTTCCCGGAACGGCCCAGCAGCGCGGCCTCAGCGGTCGGTTCAGCAGGAACAGCTGGATGCTGCAGTGAGGATGGGAATTAGAGCGGCATCTTTGGGAGCACAACCCCAAGGTAAGGCTGGAGCAGAGGAGCGGGCGGAAAGGCCCATGTAAATACATACCAGGGTATATCAGGAAAGGCAGCGCGGCTCGCAGGCGCCCGCTGCCCTCACAGGCCCAGAGCCCGCCGGCCTGCGGCGCCCCCTGCCGGCCGCGGCGCGGCACGGCACAGCCCCCGGGACACGGCACAGCCCCCGGGACACGGCACAGCCCCCGGGACACGGCACAGCCCCCGGGACACGGCACAGCCCCCGGGACACGGCACAGCCCCCGGGACACGGCACAGCCCCCGGGATACGGCACAGCTCCCGGGACACGGCACAGCCCCCGGGACACGGCACAGCCCCCGCAGGAGCAGCTCCGAGCCGGCAGAGCAGCGCTCGGTGCCGCGGGCTCGCACCGGCAGCTCGGCGAGCCACCGCAGCGGGTGCGCCCTACCACGGTGCTCTGCCCCAAGAGCTTGGAGAGGAATGCAAACCACTTTCTGATGAACAGAGGAAAATCCACATAAACTGATTCAACGAAGGAGATCTATAAAGTGCCACTACCCAAGTACCATCTTTCTACACAAGAATTATGGGTCATAGGAAGTCCGGGTAAAAACAGGATAGAGGACCATCTTTGACAATACAAGGAAGCCATGCAATAGACAATCCACTCACCCAGACCAGGTGTGTGTTGCTGAAGCAAAGACACTGTTTCCAGGTCTTTGATAGGCTCACAGGGATACATTGTCTTGGAGTAAGCGAATTGAATTTCTCTCAGGGCAAACTACCCTAAGAAATAGCCTCCAACCAGTAACCAGGGCTCCGGTTCCCCCATTTTTAGCAGTTGCAGGCCTTCGGCTGACAGGAACAAGAAACAGTGGACTACAGCAACAATCTTACCCTTTGCCACCCCTACATCAGTCTGGAAGTGCTGCTCCTCCTTTTTTGATATTGTCAGCTGAAAGCTCAGCTGCTTCTTATAAACACAACAGTTACAGAATTTTTAATCTTTTCACTGAGACTGACTTTTTCACGTTAAAAAATACAAGGAGCTGTTTTTCCTTAGGAACACTTGCTCTGTGTTCTTCTCTCTCATTCTTAAATTGAGGCCTGAAGCAGCTACAGGTCAAGTGTCGCAGGCAAGCAGAACTTGCAGATGCATTGTTTAGGTTTTATACAAAGGAAACACCCAATCTTTACAGACACAGAGCTCTCCAATCACCATTGTTTATGTTAGAAGTGATCTTTTAAACTGTAAGGTAATACAGTTAAACTGCAAGATAATGTTGCCTCTGTACAAGTGTGAAATATTTGAGAGAATGGACAGACAGCAGCTGAGTATTTTTAAACATCACTGTATCAAAAAGTGTTTCATGCAAACACAGTCGTCATGAGGACTCCATCCAATGCTACACTTGGCTATCAGATCAAGGACGGCAGAGAATTAGAAATGACTGATTAAACCATGCTAGGTAAGGCATTTCCTAGCATAGTATGATGAATGAACAACGACAGTACAAGAGTGTTCTGGGCTTTGAAAAACATTTAAGAGGGAAATCCCTGATAGAGAAAATGCTTCCACACAAAGACAAAACATTTTAACTGTAGAAGAGAGGGCATGTGGCACTTATTTATGCAAAAGCATGAAAACAGGGATGATGCTGGCAGTAAAATAGAAATTGGTGAGGTTATTCTTTGCATAGCTACAAAAGACAATTTTTAAACAAAGTCCTTATAGGGAATTTGTGAGAATGGTATCTTAAGAGAATGTAATCTTGCAATAAATGACAACAAGTGAAAAAAGGTTCTTTTATTTCTCAGTGTTTCTCCACTGTCAATACTGTCCTTTTGCTGCAACATGTTGCAAAAAAACTCTCTGCCTTTTCCATTTTAAACAGCTACAATATTTACAGGCTGTTTCCAATAACACACGCAGACACATACACACTCACAGACACGCAGGTACATATATCCCTATCCCTGGCAAGGTAACCTTTTGCTGGTAGAAGCAATATATTTTTTCATTGTCCATTAGAAACCAAAGCCACCCTCTCTTTTATGCTCTACTCCCTTCTCCATTTCCTAACCAGCAGCTATTGTCAGGCTTTCAAGGGCATCTGTGTAAGAAGTTACATATCCAGCTATTTGATTGACATCTTTCGAAGTTTCAGCCTAAGTGTACTGGGCTTATCTAGTCAAACTGTACATACCAGAAGTCATAAAAATTACTCATATTCAAATGTTCATGACCAAGTGATGTAGGTATACTCCCAAAATCTTTTGGGGCAGCCATCTTAATCACCTTTTAAAAAATATGCGTATCATGCTGGGGTGAAACAAGTCACATGCTTTACCTTCCACCAAGGTGTTATGTACCCACTGTTTTACTAAGGCACCAGGAATTACCAGTATAATTTCTGAAAGAGTCCAGCGCCACTGAATGTACTACATTAGAATATCAAATAGCAAGCCAGACAAGAAAATAATAGATGCCTATATAATAGGTATAAAATTCCTTAATAAAATTAAGTACATAAAACCTGTGGTGGTACAACCCCAAATCCAATATAAGTTGAATAATATTGTTAATGGTAAGAAATTAAATTTATCCAGCTCCATTTTGAAAACTGAGAGTTCTTGAATTGAGAAAGGTCTTTAAAGCAGTGTCTTTGTTATCCACACTCCTGGTTGCATGGTGGTGTGTGCATTATCAGAAGGTTGAATCAATCATAAGGCATCTCTTCCCCCCTTGCCCAAATCCAGACAAAGCTTTATAGCCTCTTGCCAAAGGCATAGACCTATGCCATGTCTTCATCTGTCATCTCACCAGTCATCCAGGTTTCTCAAAGGGTTCTTCAGTTCCCAAAGGCATTGTGACCATGGGATGAGGAATGACTGGTGATGACTCTTGACTGGAAAACTGGCATCACTACTCAGAAATATGCCAGATGTCCCATGCAAAGTGGCTGTAGGACCGACCAGTCAGCCTACATGGAATTACCTCAAGAACTAATCATCACCATCATCTTCTCCAAACTCTGAAACCATTTCACACATGCTGGATCATAAGAGAGATCCCCAGAATCCAGCACTAGTATCATCCATTTAAAGTAGCACAGAAGTCTAGGTGTCATCAGTGGTGCCACATACACAGTTATAGGTTTTTGGTGGTTTTAATCAGAACACTTTAAAAGATTTCACACAGAAGTGAAATGAGAAAAGGTTTTAAAACATCATGTAGTAGCCATTTTTACTAACGACATTATCTGCTTAATGGGGTTTTCAAGCCCTTTTCTGCAACTGAGTGTTTTAGGGAGAAGTCCTTACATATGTACACATAGATACAACCTCCGAAGAAATCTGAGATAAAGAAAATAGATTGGGATCTACCTAGAAGCTACAACAGTAGGACTTAACTGGAATGTTCTTATGGCAAGAGAATATCACAATGCAAGGGTACAGAGTAAAAGCAAACATCTGTAAGGGTTTTCATAAAAGTCTAGAAAGATCTAAAAAATTCTGCTCTATGGTAAGGTTCAATTTCGACTGACAGGACTAATTTGAAAATACCCATCTTTTTCATCCTTACAACAGCAGAAAAATATTACACATCAAGTCAAAGGCCAAGAAAATAAAAGATGAAATAATTTCTATCTAGAACAGAGGTTTCCACAGGCAGGTCTATCCTGTGAGGAGGTGTGCCCACATGGCCAAGAAGGCCAATGGCACCCTGGCCTGTATCAGGAGCAGTGTGGCCAGCAGGACCAGGGTTGAGATCAACCCCTGTACTCAGCACTGGGGAGGCTGCACCTTGAGTGCCGTGTTCTGTTCTGGGCCCCCCAATTTAGGAAGGACATTGAGATGCTCAAATACATCTAGACAAGAGCAACAAGGCTGGTGAAGGGTCTGGAGCACAAATCCTATGAGGAGGCTGAAGGAGCTGGGGTTGTGCAGCCTGGAAAAGAGGAGGTTCAGGAGAAACCTTATCACTCTCCACAACTCCCTGAAAGGAGGGTGTAGCCAGGTGGGTTGATCTCTTCTCCCAGGTAACCAGTACCAGGACAAGAGGACTAGTCTTAAGCTAAAGGTTAAGACATCCCCAGTCTTTAAGGGGAAGTTCAGGCTGGGTATTAGGAAGAAATTCTTCACAGAAAGAGTGAATGGGCTGCCCAGAGAGGTGGCTGAGTCCCTGGAGGCATTGAAAGAAAAGACTGGATGTAGCACTTCATACCATGGTCTAGTAGTTGAAAAGGTGGTGTTCAGTCATAAGTTGGACTCTATGACCTCAAAGGTCTTTTCCAACCTAGTTAATTCTGTGTGCTTCTGAGTCAGAAGAAAAACATTTTTGTCACTTGCACAGTAGAAACCAAAGACAAATGCTGTACAAACCAACATACAATCATATGAATCTTAACGAGGTCACGAAAATCTTCAGAGTTAATTTTCCAAAGCCTTATGGAAGAGTGAAATTTCAACTAGATGGCTTCTGTTGAGCAGATCTGGAATAGGTATGAGCACTACGTGAATGGCTTCACAACAGATGTTAGCCGAGTACCTGAAAGGAAGTGTTAACCTGTTAGCTCTGCACATTAAAATCCATCTCCTGAAGTCAGCATACCAAAAGTCTTATGTTTTATAAAAAATAGAACTATTCATTAATTCTCTTTGCCCTTAAAAAAAGTCTCTCTTTCTTTCCCTATCTGCTGTTTGCCAATAGAATTCCAGGCAGATAAACATATGCGCTAAAATTTCCACATTAACAAGCCATTAATTCCTATCGCATCTTTTACCAGCAATGGACATTGTCCTTACCTTGCCCCAAAAAGAGCAAGAGCTTGTTCAGTCAGGGTTAACATGCTGAAAGTTGTTTCAGTCAGCTTAAAAAAAAAAAAAACAAAGCAAAAATATATTTTGGTTTTCAGTCATTTGTTTAACTCAAGGCTTCCATCCAAGGGAAAAAAATCCAACCCTGTGCAACTGATGTCAAACAGGGGCTTATTTTCAAACTTCTCCCTTTTAAATGAAGCAATGTTGCTAGTGATACAGAAAACCTGGAAGGTTAATTAATTAAAGGTATTAATTAATTAAAAGTATTTACCTGAAGGGAAGGACATAGAATAAAACCTTCACTAAAAGGCCTTCAATA